TTTTTATTTCAAATTTATATCTTAAAAATTAAGAAATTAAATTAGATTTATTAAAAATAAATTTTGATTTTTAATTCAAAATTAGATAAAATAGATTAGCTCCATCAAATAATTAAAACCAATTATTTATCATAAAGTAAAAATAAAAATCAAATAATAAGAAGAACCGACAACTGTGGTTGATACCTTCCCGTAATCAAATTTAATACTCCCATTTTATTTAATCGTTGACTCTAGGGGTCTTTTAGGTGCAATTTGATTCAAATTTTTATATTTTTTAAATTAATTCAATTCATTATAATATGATAATCAAATTAATTCAATTCAAATCAAATTAGTGTAGTTTGGTCAATTTAGTTGACTTTTAACATTGCTAGATGTATGAGATAATGAAAAAAATTTTACTATTAAATAGAAAACACAACTATAAAATATATTGTCATCCAAATAAATGAAAACATAATAAAAGGCATAAATTATAAATAAATTTTTATATTTCTTTACAATTGTAAAAATTGAAAAGATCTATAAATTCTTTTTTATTATACCATGAAAGGCACTAAGGGTGATAAAAAATAGATAAAATATCCAAATCCACCCTCAAAATATAGTGGTAGGGACATATCCATCCCAAACAAAAAACGATGACAAATCCACGCACAAAATTTTTGATTTAGACAAATCATCTCAAATTTAATGTGTGAAATCATCTGATGTCAATGATCCGTTAATATCTGATGTCAGTAATCCGTTAATTTGACGTCATCTGATGTCAGCAATTTGTTATTAACAACATAACAAATTAACGGATTATTGACGTCAGGAAACGTCATATGTTAAATTTGGAGTGATTTATTCAAGTCAAAAACTTTGTGTGGTAGATTTGTCCCCCTTTTTTGTTTGTGGTTGATCTATCCCTACCATTATATTTTGAGAGTGGATTTGGATATTTTGTCTAAAAAATAACTCCAAGTAATTATTAAAGGTTAAATCTTTTTTTTTTTTTACTTAATGCATCAAATGATTCAATTTATATATTTCGAACCTTATTAAAAAGGAATAAAATTTAACATGAATATCATTAAAATTGATTAAAAGCATTCATAATCAAAATTTAAAACTCTTTAACCAACCATTAAAAATAGTAAAATATCAAGACTAATTCTATTATATAGTTTTAAAACTTCTAAAATAATACTTCTTAAAAACTTAGTTAAGAGAATTAGAATATTATTTTAAAATTAGGATTAGAGTGTATGATTAAGAAGAAAAAATAAATTAGGGAATATGGAGATATTATAATTTTATTTTTAATTAAGTTAATAGATTTATTATCTTGTAAAAAAAAGAAAAAAATTTAAAATACTACAAAAAAATATTATATTATTTAATTAAATTATCTTATAATTAGATTTTATTTTGTAATCAAGCAGTTCGAAGGGTTTGACTGTAAAACCACAAACTAAATCAATTTTATCAATTTTAAAATTTTATAATTCAAATCAACCCAATTTTATATTATATTGGTTTAATTTTTTTATTGGATTAGATCAGTTCTGATCAAATCAATCTGATTGGATCAAATATGAACACCCCTAATTAACTCTTTTTGTTTTTTTAGACCATATTATTATATATAGCAACTAATTTAATGATATAACATAAACTA